ATCTGTAGTAAATCAGTATCCCTCCCCCACTTTTTTTTTTTCTATTATGGAGGGAATATTAAAAATTGGTTACTGTGGATTGCAAGGTTGCACCCCAAAGTCTCTACAACATCCCCCAACATGTAATCGTCCAGGCTTCCCAAAATGGCTCAGAACAGAGGCAGTTTTTTGCATCCAAAATATCCCAAGTTACATTAATCTGTGCTCCAAAGCACCATAATGGAGTTGGCTTAAATCTGGTCTTTAGCGTGCAACTTCTGAGAGTAATTCCTATTTAATTCAGTGGGACTTATTTCCAAAGGAATATGCCTAGGTTGAAGCTGTAAAGTCTTACAAAACCAAAAACCAACTAACCAATCCCAAAGCATTACAGGTAGTCCTCACTTAGCCTCATTTATCAACTGTTTGCAGTTACGACAGTTATGAAAAAGTAATTTTGTGATTAATCCTCACATTTACAACCTTCGCAAAGGTCTGTAAAGCAAAGGAAAGCTGAAGGAAGATCATAAGCACAGTCACAGTTTCACTTAGCAACCACTTTGCTTAAAGATTGAGTTGCCGGTCCCAATTGTGGTCACTAAAGGAAGACTACCTGTAACAGCTTTGCATTTATGAATATGTGTAGGATTCATGGAAATCTTAGGGCATGACCATTCTCCTCCCTCACCTCAATTTTCTTTATGAAAATCAGAAGCCTAAATAATTTGATCAAGAGATCAGAAGATGGTTTAAAGGAAAAATTTGCAGATGTATCTAAAGAGGTGGTAGATTTCAAACCTGAAAGAGAAAGTCCAAAGAAGAGGTGTGGATCATCCCATCCATGCTCCAAGACTAGTCTCTACATAGCCTTGACTGTGAAGTGTGCATGCCATTAAAAAAAACACATGTGAGCATATAGAGCTATACATTTAAGCTGCTAGATTTGGGGGTGTACACTTAATGTTCCTTAAGGGAGAGCATTGAATCCTACTGTTCCTGTTGATTGCACCACGAAAAAAGTTGGTAGTGCAATTCTAAGCATGACTATGCAGAAATTTAGTCCACTGAATTCAGTGAGACTTACTCCCAAGTGCAGACAGCACCATCTACCTCTCCAGAAGTTGCTCTGATTCCTACATTCCTCAACATTGGCCATGCTGGTTGAGGCTATTGGGAGTTTTAGTTCAGTAACATTTAAAAGGCTATGGGTTCCTCATTTTTGCACAAGGTAGCCTATGATAAATAATCAGATAATTATCTTCCTCCAGTTTGTCTAATCTTTAACCTTTGATTCAACTTTGATTCAACTGCTATCATGCAAGAGTGTACATAGCGCCCTACAGATATTTAAGACAATACATCTGCCAGAAGTCTTAGCCAGTATAGCTGCTGGCTAGTGATTGGAAATTGTAGAATTTGTATTTCCAATTATCTGGAGGGCACCAGATTTTAAAATGGTGGTTTAGGACCACTATTTCAGACTTGCAGCTCCTCTGCTTAAGACTTTGCACAGTCCTCTCAGATATCATGTGTGAACTCCAGCTGAAGTTTTAATTCAAATGAGAAGTCCCTGGAGTTTTCAGATGCATCTATTGGCAGCTGAGGGAATTACTCCCTATCAGTATATCATACTTGAAGCCAATTGCACAGTTTAAAGCTTGATTGCAGAATTTAAAACTATCAGGAATAGACATTCCCAAATGATTCCTGGCACTTCACAATCGGTGGCACAAGGCGCAACAAAGCAATATGCTAACATCAGACCAGAATACTGCCTATTTCAAATGACACTCCAGTCTTACTAGCAGCAGCAGGCAAGCAATGCTATGGAAATTCAGTTAATTGCAGCTTTGTCATTTGCCAGTCTTCTGTTAGTCCGCAATGATTTCATTTTAGTAGTTGACTTCTGTGACCTACTTTACAACGTGCATTTTTGCAGGTGGAATTTTAAAGTGATGGGAACACATGATGTAATTTGGTCACGTACACAATTTGGAGTTTTCCAGCATTCCAGGAATAAAACAGAGAGTGATTTATATATAACGGAAACCAGGGCCTTTATATTTTGGAGTGTTGATGGGAAGCAGCATCATAAGTCATTATGATTTTAAGAAAAAAATTGCACATAAAGGTCCTTGTAAGTTTTCCCAGAGTTCTTGCATTTGTACTAGCCAAAACAACTGAATTAGTAATTCTGTCTTAATGAATCTATTTTACCAAGCCATTGGGTAGAAATATGGCATTTATTTTTGGTCCTTTGGATATTGTTTGACTTTGTTCTGCTGGCTTGGAGTAATTGGACTTGACATTCAGAGAGTTAAGGGTCCCCTTCCGCTTCTTTTAAAAGAATTGATCTTCAGAACAACTTGCAAATCCGTCCCAAACTAAGAACTGAGATCCATGTGTTGAAGAGCTTCATGCATAGTTCAAAAGATTTCCCACTGAACTAAACCCAAGCAACTAAAGTGATGGGAAGGTGTTATATCTGTGGCTAAAGCCTTCACTTAGAAGTGGTATTCACCACCCACACGTTGGCATTATATGTTTCCCTTCTCATCTTAAAATGGTGTCTGGCAGGATATTTTATAAACGAATCACTGAAAGATTACAGTTCCACCAGAAGATGCTTCAGATGTTTTTGCTAACCATTTCCATTAAACAGATAAACTAGAGGAAATAATCTGGTTAAAAAAACTAACTAAACTAAAAGCTGAGAAGCTAGGATCTCATGCATAGTTATTGGATTTCCTAAACTAACATGCAATTTTATATTCAAAGGGGCTTATTCCCAAATGAACATCGACAAAATTGCCGCCCTGGTTTGGTAATTCTTTGAACATTTTCAAAGCAACATGGAACACATTCTTTTTGAAAACACCACTGAAGGCTGCCATTGCTAGTGTTGCAAACATAACTGCTAACTGCCATATATTGGCTTTTTGCTTTAATAGCCTTTTAACCAACTTTCTTAATGGACTGAATACAATTTAGATATAGAACTTGGCTAAAACGTAGCTTCAATTGGCTATTAAAATTTAAGAGCCAACTTAGATAGCTAATTACAAAAAAGAAGAGGAAGGAAGAGAGAGCTATGGTGATAATGCTAAGCAGAGTAAGTAATAGCAAATGACAGTCTGTCTAGTCTTATTCTCAAGAGGAGATAAAACTTTTAACTGAGAAGTCAACCAGACAATACACAACCTTCTCCCCCACCCGCCCATCCTCCGCCAATTCTAATTGTATTATTGGTGTTATGGCATGTCAAATCTGGCAGGTCATTCAAACTTGGTTTAGGAAATCATTTTAGCTTATCACTTAAAGGAGGCAGCACAAAGTGAATATGAATTTATTATATACAAACACTAAATTGTGTTTGTGTGCATGTGTGTGTGTGTGTGTGCATGCAAAATTACTCAGTTTGTATCTCACCATATATCTGTATGTATTTATCTCTCTATTTTAATAATTGTTAAGAGTCAATACAAGTGAAGGAAATACAACTATAAAGCAAGCAGGTTTGAATGTGGTTAAAAAAATCAAGAAGAAACAAAACTATGCCTATAATTAAATTGGATTCTCCCTGCAGATATTTTAGATTAGAGGGAGTAGGGGAGTAAACAAGGATCTGCTGAATGCTTGCCACTAAAAGAACTGTTGAACGATTCATTATCAATACTCTCATTACACCATCAGTTGAAGAGCAAACTAGCTCTCCCGTGAACATTTCTCATGTATGGTGACCACTATGAAAACGGACAAGGAAAAAATCCCAAGTATGTAGCGTTGTCTTTAATATTCCCTGACTCAAGTGTCTCCCTGCTGTGCCTGTAAATGTCAGTCCAGTTTTTTCATGGCTGCGTGCACAGATTAGAAACAGCAGGAGAGCTTGGGAATATGACTACAATACCGGTAAGGACTCTTGTCTTCATGGCAGTGCTCAAGTAATTCTTGGAATGCAGGACCCTGCTGTTTTCTAATATTTACACACAACTGGAGTCATCAAGAGCAGTAAATGCGGGCTATAAGGAAAGCTCTTTCTTTGTGTAAGGGACTTTGCATTCAAATCAGGACTCCCAAGAGCTGCCACCCCTTCTCCCCCCCATCTCAAAAACACAGGTTTATTGCAATATTTTTAAAACTTGTCATATGCTTTTCCACTCTCTCCTTGCTTCTTTAAAGCATCAGAATTCCTAGGAAACACATTTGCTTGGTCTTGGAGCTTCTCTGTGGGTAGACAACCTTCCTGGTCTTTACCTTCAAAATCATATTCCCCTGGATCTCTCTTATATCCCAAAATTCCCTTATGATTTCCATTCATCTAGTTCTAATACATTTTCCCATCCAACTGCCTTCTGTTCCTTAAAATTATTTATGAGTTTTTCCCTTGCTAATCCATAGGCTTAGAACTGCCTCCCAGGGCCTCTGTGCATCTATTTCTCTTCTACCAACCCATTGCTCAAATCTCAAATTTTCAAGTAAGCATTGGGAAAACTGATATCCTATTCCAGTTAAGCCAAAGTATATAAGTTTGAACTAATGGTGCATTCTTCCTGTTTATCTGCCTCCAGTCAATTTTTGATTTGGTTGTTTCTTTTTATTAGTTTTTTAGACTATAAAAAACTTAGTATAGGTTTGACCCAAATGCCATGTCATAGACTGTGATTAGACACACATACACATGCCACCAACAATATATAATTAAATATTCAAGATTTATTTTACACAGACATTATTTCATTTTTATTCAAGTTTATAGAAATTGACTGAATGCAAGAATGTGCAAAAAAATGCCATTTAAACACTTTGAAACTTTTGTTAATGATACTAAACTATACATTCTATACATAAGATTTAAAATCTTTACTTTTCCAAGCCAGCACTATATTGCAAGAGTCTACTGTTTAAATACACATACAAAAGGGGGGAAAGCCAATTGCTACTACAATAAGGTAAAATCTAAAAGAAAAAAATCACTACTCAGTGCAAGTAGGAAACTCATATTCTGTTTTGTTTTGTTTTTTTTACTTCTGAAATCTCTTCCTTGGTTTCAAGTTTTTCTTGGTTTTGGCGAGATCTTCTGTAATTTGGGTTTGGTGGCTCCCATCTCTATAGTTATTATGAATAAAGACAATTTCATTATTAAAAAGATGGTTCACAGAAAATCTGAATGTAATCAAACCACTTTGTATGACTAAGTTAAAAAAATGAAATCCGCAAGAATTTACTAACACTTTACAATCCGTATCAAATTCAGGACACTACTGACTCTCATATAATGTATAGTAGTAAAGTTCACAGAAATGGTTTCCCAAGCCACACAAACTATATTTGATTGTGCCTCCTGGAGCAAATGAATTTCTCCACTACTTTTGCACCAGTTGGTTTACATTCTTATCCAATCGCATATATACCTTTGGTTTTTCTCCAGCATCCTTTTTAAATTTAAGTAACGCAAATGATAATCTGTTATTTTAAAGCAGGGTGTTGGAAATCTTCGCCTAAAGAAATTTGTTAAAACTATCACAAAATAAAATTGCCTCTTGGTATGCACTTAAAACTAAAATTGAATCCCAACATTATTTGAGGTATGTTGTTACAGTGCCATCCTCCTGAGAGGCACTCACGAGACTACGGTTCCAGCAAAAGGTGTCAGCAACTAGAGAGGACCAATTTCTTAATATCCTATATAATATGTGCTTCTGCCCACATTCCAAGGAAATTATGGAAGTTTTTATACAATGTTTATTGTACTGCCCTATTTCTGCATGTGGAAAATTTTTGGACCCCCTTTTGATAGAAAAATCATTTTGGCCTGAGTCATATAAAATTGAATATTTAATGAATTTAGACAAGGAGACAATGCTATGGAGGTTAGCAAGCTTTGCATGGGCTGCTGCTAAGCAGAGAGATGATTGTAAAAAAAGTTCCTAATATTTCTTCATTATTTTATCTGATGTAATAATAATGTTTAATATTCTTACTGATTTTTGCACATTTTAACGTATTTTATTAATGTTTGGCCACTTTTATGTAGGTTTTATCTTATCTGTTATGACCGGCAATCAAAACAATAAACATATTGAATTGAAGTTAATATTTGATTGGAACAGTGAACTGGCAACCTATCGGCAGTAAATATCTAGCCAACTTTCTCTGGCTCCAACAAAATAAAGTTCTTGAAGGGACAAATAATCTCGAGGAAAAAATGATTATGAAGACAGAAACAAGTGGAGTTGCTCATCCTCACCTCCTGACTTTCCTTGCTCATACTCAAGTTTTAAGTCTTACATCCAGCAACTGATGTGGAAAATGAAGTACACAGTTGTGCTTTCAGTCTGATTGCCCAAATGGAAGCATAGGGAACATTTGTCTATAGCCACAACAACAAGAGTGTGCTTCCCATGCATCCACGTAAACTACCAGCCTTGAAATTGAGAGGAAGATACACATACTGAAAGAAATATAATCCAGCTTGAAGCAATGTTGAAATATTTCAGTTTAATTCTCTATCCTTACATGAACTCTGCATCTAGTCAGAAGTATCTAGTTTTCCATGTACAGTATGTTACTGATGTTAAGTAAATAGAAAAACATACATTTTACTTGTAGCTAAGGTAGGGAGATTTTTCTTAAATGTGACTTTAAAGAATTTGAGGTACATTCTTAACACATACATAAAGCCACTATTTTCCAGATCTCTAATAGGAAATTGGATTAAAGGGCTGATTCAGAAAATACATTAATGAGCACTAATAATGCTTGTATTTTCTCAGTATCTAACTCATTTTAACAATCACTAAAATTCACAGGCCTCTCATCTTGCCTGCTATGAGATCTGTGTTTCATATGTAATTCCAGAATATAATCAGACTCTCCTAAATTAGAACCATGTTCAAATAACACCTCTGCAGTTTCCTTATATGCCTGTGACCAAAACCATTAGACAGTTATTCCTCAGGTGGGCTTTGAGGATGTAATAATGCCTTGATAATATATGGCCCAAGATTGACTATTAAGATCGAGCAAAGGAGGACTGATGGGGTGCATCCAGGGTGTGATAAATTTCTCATTACACTAGGGGTAATTTCCATGTCTTGAAAGAAACAGTGGTATAGCCCCTCCTAAAATGAACTTCCATCTAAAAGTATTTTAGAACTATCCACCCAAATGTGGTGGATTTGACTGCTGAGCTGACTCTCTGGGACTGGAGTAGGAGGCACTTTTCTTCACTGATTGCACTCTTAGCTATGATCAACTCCAGAGGATGGCTTTCAGGTGTTTCCACTTGGCCTCATGACTGCTAAACCGTGGGATGCCACAGTGATCCATTTGGTCATCCTTGTTGTTCAACATCTTTATGAAACAACTCAATGAGTTCACTGGGGTCTGGGACTAAGTACCACCAGTATGTTAACACCCAGTCAGGTAAAACAATGCAGGTGCTGGATACCCTAATGAGCCAGTGGATGGCCAGTAAACTGATGATGAATCCTAAGAAGACACTGAATTGACTAGGAGTAGGATTCTGCTCTCAAATTCTGAATGAGTTTGCACTCTCCCTGAAGGAGAACGTATGCAGCTTTGCTATACTAGTGCAGAACACAGCTGCCACATAGACATTATATAATGCTGAACCTAAAATGATTGCACTGCCTGCCTAATACGAGAGCCAGTTTGGCTAAGTGGTCCAGGTGCTGGCCTAGAAACCAGGAGACTGAGAGTGCTAGGCCTCCCTTAGCATGAAAACTGGCTGAGTGACTTTGGGCCAGTCACTCTCTCTCAGCCCAACCTCACAGGGATATTATGGGGAGGCAGGAATATTAGGTATGTTCACCGCCTTGACTTATATATAAAAAAGGCAGGATAAAAATCTAATAACAACATGTTAGCAGTCAGACGTTACTAATTTTACTACAGGTAGTCCTCAGGTAATTGGGACTGGAACTTCCACTGCTAAGCAATGAGGCTGTGAAGCACGACACCATGTGACTGCATTGCTTAGTGACAGCAATCCCCGCAGTCCCAGTTGCTGTCATTAACTGAATCCCATCCAGTTGTTATGTGAGGACCCACACTGATCCAAGCCATTCCAGCTTGGTCCCTCCCAGCCCCGACCTCAGTAAGATAAGCGACTGCCTCCTCTTCAACTCCATCCCCCCATCTCTGCCCTTTGGGCAGCCCTGTGCCTGCCGCCACTATGAGCCCTGTCCTCCACTGACCTTGCCGCGCTGCATTCCACTGGCCCTGCGCTCTGCTGGCCCTGCCACCCTCAACTGACCTTCGCCATCTTCTTTCTCCCACTGTTGATGAGGCGCACCTTGCCTGGCTCCTCGTGAGGCAGCTGCTGACCACACCAGGACTTCTTCCCGAGGCCACACATGGCCTTGTCCATGTGTCCACGGGTCCACTGGTGATTTGGACACGGCCATATGCTTTCAAATTGCGTGCAGCCCTTGTCCAGTTTGAAAGCCTCGCGAGAAGGCTGCATGCAACTTGGACAAGAGCATGCATAGGCTCAGGAAGAAGGTCTGGTGCGGCCAACAGCTGCCTCGTGAAGGGCCAGGCTAGGTGCACCTCGTCAGCAGCAGGAAGACAGTGAAGGCCACCTGGGGGCAGCAGGGGCAGCAGAACACAGGGTGGCAGGGCCGGCGTGTAAGGCGGCCAAAAGGGCAGAGATAGGCTGGTGGGGGAGTTAAAGCACCCCTGTGGCTGCGTGGGCAGGCTGCCGAGTACCCAAATTTTGATCGCATGACTGCAGGGGTGCTGAAATGGCCATAACTTCAGGGAGTGGCTATAACTACCATTTATTCAGCACTGCCGTAACTTTGAATGGTCACTGAACAAATGGTTGTTAAGTGAGGACTACCTGTAAGGATATTCAATGCCTTTGAGTGATTAGTACTGATACTTGAAAGAGCATATCTCCCGGTATTTAAATGCTCAAATGTTAAGACCTGGAGGAAGAGTGATAGTAGTGGTGGGTATGTAATGCCCTTCCCCTTGAGGCCAGGTTCATGCTGACATATTCTGCCTTTCAATATCATTTGGCATAACTTGGCTTTAGTTATTTAACTTGGATTACTATTTTTCCTTGCTTCCTTATAGATTGTAACTTACCACAAGATCCTCTGAATAGCAGGTTGGCTATGAATGTTTTAAATAAATAAAAATAAAAATGCCAGTAATATTTGTTATCCAAAGCAGTACAACTTCATTTTGTGAAGCCAACTCAGTCAGATCAAAGAAGCAATACAATTCAAGATCAGCCTTAACTCAAGAAAGCAGGACACTCTGCTTCAACATCTTTAACAGAAACATTGAAGTAGGCTGGAACTGCCGATCCAAATGTCTTCTGGGCATGAAAACCTTTGTAGGCCTTTGAAGTGGTTGTTTTGATGTATACCAGGTGCCACTACATTTCACAGAACTGCCTCGAAAGGGCGCCTTGATTGAGGTTTCTTTCGAAGCGAAACAATCCTTTGATGCTTTGCACAGTCCTAACTTGGAAATGATACCATCTGCCACAGGGCCTTTTGGAGACAAGCTATAACTCACAGGCAGCAAATGTGTGAGGTCCAAACTAATTCCTGGCATTTCCTGCTAAAAGAACTGGCAAGCCTTCCTTGCAGTAGTCCTGCTGATGTGCATCTGCTGGTCATAAACTACAGATTATGCCAAAACACTACCAAGATTTTATAGTTTATCTGGATAACTCCCTTTTCTTAACATAACTGCACTCACTTTTGCAAATGACTTCTGTTGCTGCTGCTAGCCTCTGGCTGCAACCTGCTGTGATGAATTGGTCATGGGGAGTCAGCACTTCCTGACAGTGAATTGGACAAGATAGGTGAGGATAAAAATGAAAACAGAAAGGAAAATAAATGGTGGGAAAAGGGGCAGGGAACCACCGCCAACAACTTTCATCAACTAACTGTCATCAGTTTTATATGATGAGCAATAAATATATTTCGCATTTGCTGCTGGCAGATAGCTGACAATCTTTCTTTTTCCAAGTTACCCAACAAAGTGGTCACGGAATTTAAACATCTTTGAATTTTTCTACAGTGATAGATCAATGACAAATTCTAATAAGAATGTTTGACTTACTGGGTGATGCATGTTTTCTTTTTTTGGTATTTTTCACACCATCAACAGCTATTTCGGCATTGTCCTCATCAGCAGTGGCTGCCTCTGATGCAGCAACTAATTTTCTTTTTGTCTATCGTCCAAATCAAAACAGAAAAATGCACACAGACAAGTTAAACAACAAATGATAATGCCACACATAAAACTGCTAACCATATTTCTCTATCAAAGTTTCCTATCCTCTGAGTAATTAACTCAAAAAGCTTTTAACAGAAAAAGCATTTTATCTTAGGTATGCTATGATTTTCAATATCTTATTTTGTACAGTTCTTGCATGAATCCATTTTAGTCTGTTCAGCAACAAGACTGTAGTTTACAGTAATCAGATACAATCTGCAAATAATGCAACAGCACATGAGCGTGGGTTACTTCCAGACAATATTTCTTATAAATGCATTACAAAATTTACTTCTTGCATTGCCTAAGCAGTTTGCTTTCTATTTTGAAATTTTATTTTAAAGTTGCTAATGTTCAAGACTGTGGAAGTATACTTGATTTGTACAGCTTGTAGACACTCTCAGCTAAGGTTGCCCGAGAAATTCAGCCTTTTACAAACATTTCTGTAGGAATTTAGGTATCTGCTATATTTCACATTGTTTCAGAATAGTGAAATGTAGTGCTAAGACAATGCATATTTCAGTATTATTTTGAAATTATTTTAAAAAGAATAGAGATTAATATATAATTAGTGCAGAATTATGGGAAATCATACAAAAATCACAACAACTGGAAATATTCATTTCTTAATATTTAAGATTAAAATTTAAGCTACAGCTTATGAACCCTGAAAAGTTGAATTTCAAGCAGCCACCGTTGTCAGCCTCCCTTCCTTAACCTCTGGACCCAGTTATAGTAACCTAAATTACATTTAAATAAAAGACATACTGATTTTTAATACAGTTTGAAAGTATTCCAATTAGAAAAGAATATAAATAAAATGCTGATTGTTACTGGGATTCATTTATTTATTTTAGAAGAGATTTCTAAAAGCTTTCAGCCTTATTTGGTTAAAATGTTGCTGTTATTCCCTTACAGCAAGAACTGCTTCTCAACCAGAGATGCATCAGGTTATACCCATTATAAATGCTGCACAGAGGACAACATATTTTAAAAGAAACTGGAACTATGTATATTTTCCCCTCTTTTTTTTACTATGAATGTTAAGAAGCCAGAATGTTTTTCCAAGGCTCATATCTTAGCCTACCAGCATAAAAATAATTGCTAAACTTCCACTCACTTTTTTGGTAAGTTTGATAAAAGTGTATCCATACTGAAATAGCTGCTGAAGTGGTTACAAGCTTATATAGCTGATGAGAAAAGGGGAGAGTGCATTACATCTTTCCAAAGTGTTGCTTCATGATTACCATCTAAACCCTGCTGGGCTGAACAGATTGGTTCGATAATTACATACAATAACTGCAGTGGGCAGGTAACCCTCAGCTGGCACAGGGCAGCTCCCCTGTGAGAACTTCCATATGCAAGCTGCACTGATGGAGTGCATTAGGTACATCTTTCTTGCCAGTGCACAGGCCCGATTAACACCAACCAAAACTCCAAGGTTAGCATGTCAGCAGATTTGTGATGCATTAGGCAGGAATAAACACAGACACTTTTGTTCGTTCTGACCAAAATTAAGAAGGAATATTTCACCACTGTATTGCTTTTGTACACAGGATACAAATGCATTCTTCCTGGCTAAATGGAATAGAGTTGTGCTTTTTTAAAGACTTATTGTAAAAGCAGCTGCCCAATACTTTCCACACCCAAAAACTGTTTCCAAGCTCATTACAACAAACGGCACATTCTTAATCTTGATGCAGATGAGTTACATGGCAAGAGAAGTCATGTATCATTCTGACAGAGACAACACTCAAGCCTGATGCAGGATGCACAGCAAACTATGAATCACTAATTCATATTTATTTCAGTTCAAATGTTTTCTAGCTGTTATCAAATGTCATCAATGGGCTCATCACTAAGCATATCCCATGGCTTGAGTAGTTTACAGGCTCAATAATGGATGTTTTCACTGCACGAAAATGAGGGTAACTTCTCTTTTGGCAGAAGTTAACTGAACAAACATAAATGTTACAGTAACATCATCCATTTCATATGAAAGTGAATTAAATTTAAGCCTAGTAGGGAATGCTCTCTCATTAATAAATCCCAGAACTAGAATCACTTAAAATGTACAACAGAGGAGATGAATAACTCCCTGTGTAACCAATTTCAATTAGCTGGGCAGCAACTGTTTCTACTCTTTCACAATTTACTAGCCATTATGATATGGCATCATATATCCTCAACAGAATCTGGTTTTGAGGTTCAACTTGAAATAGATTCTTAGCCAATATTGAAACTGAGAAATGTATTGTGCAATCCTATGCATAATTTAAAAATGTCACTACTGGAGTTTATTCCTTAGCAGGTATGTATAGGACTGCAGCTGTATACAGATGAGAAATATAATGTTCCACAGGAACTTGTTTTTGGAAGAAAGGATAGTTCATCTTATACTTGTCTGAGGACTAAGGAATATGGTAATCTACCCAATCCCTTATTGAGTTCAGAGCATGAGTATCCTTTAAGCTTATACCCTTCTACCCTTTTCTTCAAATCTAGCTATTGTTTGTTTAGAACCAACTAGTTTGAAAAATGATGCTATGTACATAAAGCTTACATAAGATCTTCTCCAAAAATGGAAGGGAAGGGAAGAGACATTTGTTCAGGTGAGAAAAAGAGTGTGTAAACAAACCAGGGAACTGTTGTGCAAGTCTTTATGGGTTCACAATAGATTTAAGGAGCAAACCCTTGGAGTCGTCAGAATAGTCAAAATAATTATTTCTAATGAAGCGCTACAAGTCTTATCAGTCCTTTTTATCTACCTTTGTAATCGCCTGCCTCATTTGAAGAGGAGCATTCATGTTACCCAAGGTAGGTTTTTACTATTTCAGCATCATTGTAAAGAGAGTTAAGTTTTATATATTAGGAACTTATTCTTCAGAATCCTATCCTATTTCTATTAATCTGAGTCTCTTTTCCAATTATAAACTAGACAAATGTTTCAAGATTAGGATTTTTCTTCTGCAAAGCACAATTAAACTGACACAGTAGAAACAGAAACCTCAATTCTGAGCTATACACAAAATCTATCAAGTTGGACCTTGGAACCATATTAAGACAACCATTTCTATTTCTTCACTTCACATGCTAACCAAAAATACAGAGAGTCAAAAGTGTAAAGTAAGGATAGGAAGCAAGCTGCAAGTTCCTTGGGATGCTTAAGAGGGCTCATGTTACCAGCTAGATCCTTTGTAATTCAAATTTTCGTTTGAAAAAGAAATTCTATTCATTTAATTGCAGAACTGCAATCCCATTAGGCTCACAAGGTACTCCTTGCTTTCTAACACCATTAACAAAAACAGGGATTATCATCACTTTACATCTATACTTTGCCAACTTCTAGTTTATTTTCTGCCTTCATCGAAAATGCAGCTTTTTAGATGTTAATGTTCTTCATAACTTGGGAGCAGAATTCTTGAAAGATGTGACTATATACCATCTACACAACCTGATTCTTTTTTAAAAAAAAATCCTTCTTTCAGCATCCTATTAACCAAACCATAAGAGCTCGTTACTGGGACAAAGTGCCTACTTGATATTGCTGCTCTTATCATGAAATACACTTCCCCAAAAGTTTCATTTTCTATCTGTATAATGGTGAACTTCATGGTTGAGTGGGATGTGAACCCTAGTTCCCTAGATATTAGAAAAGCATTCTGAACTTACAGAAAGCTTAAGTTATGGGTGTGTATGTATATGTATGTATGTATGTATGTATGTATGTATTTCCTACTGGATAAACTGTCATAACAAATAGGTGAGTTCCAGCTAGATTCAATCAAACCAATGGAAACATTCAAGAGAGAATAGAGCTGAGTCATTAATAAATTAATTGGTTAAATTAACAAAGTTTGGATGTTTCACTGAACTGTGTATCAGAATATTTTTTGAAAGATTATCAACACTGAGGGTTATCTATGAACATATGTTTAAATTCAGAATTTTTTTTAATGAGATTTCTTCATTCGGCACAAAGGACTGGGGAAGAATGTTGACCAACACCTATAATTTAATTCACTTACAAGAAAAGATCAATTCTATTATCAAAACTAGCAAGAACAATTATTCACCACAATTTATAGTTTCAATTAATTAAACATTAATTGGCTAACAATCTATATCATTAAAAACAAAGGAAATGAGAAGTCACAAGCCAAGATTAATTCTTGGCAGATGTAGGCATTTTGAAAAGCCAACACTGATTCAGCCCAGGGCTAAATATGCTAGTTTACACTGAAGACAAAATCATGGGATATGCTCTGAGCAGCTAGCAACATAATTTAAGTATTTTGTAGAAAATTGGCAGAATCACATGACAGGAATAACATAGCAGTGCAACATCATAATATTCAACATACAGCTCTAATATGCATAATCACAGCAACTCAGGCCAATGAGGTTGCATATTCAATTATACATTCAATATTTTAATACATTTTTTAGAAATATTCAACTCTTCCACTGTTGTTCAATTTATGCTAATCAAACCTATTTACTTCTTGAAATATTGTTCCATATATGTGTGTGTATATGTATCACAGCTTCTTATTTCCTTTTTATTTCATGTCACCTTTAAATTTTCTGTTAAGGCATACTTAAATTGAATGATTAAGAATCCAATGATTATGCAGATAGGTTACATCAGGCACAATTTTGAGTATATTAGTGAGCATCATGGCCCATGATCCTTATGACAAGCTTTTGTGATACAACTACACTACTAGTAAGGAAATTGCTTCGTGAGTTTACACAGAAGCATTTTTCATTCCAAATAATTTCATATTAAATAATAAAAATCATTTAATGACATCTATGTTAATAAACATATTTACTGTAGATCTCCCTCTCTATGAATAATAAAAACTAATAAATTGGCCAAGTACTAGCCATCAGGCTGATATATATTTAAAGTAGATGAAATTTTACTTGGGGCATTAAATCAGTGTTTTTAATGCCTTAATTTTAAAAATAATGACCTATATTCATTGTGCAGCAGTATTTTATCTATCTGATGTGACCAAAAAGATATTATACAAAGAGATTTATCATTTCAAGAGTGTCCAGTATTTACAAACTCAAAATCAGTTACATTATTTTATCACTGTCCATGAAGCATATTATATTTAATAATTAGACTGATCAATTAATCCTGATATCCAGTACAAAATACATGGCTAAAATGTTAATATGTAAAATGTATGGATATCACTATCAAATCATTTGAAAGCTTAGTTTAAATGCAATCATTTGAAGATTTTATTGTAATTTCTATTTCTCAGCAATGATAACTAAACAACTAATTACCCACACAATTAGATACTGCACACAAATTACATGCACTATGCTGTGTTATATTTAATAGTTTTAGGGCAAATGTTTTTTTTTAATATTCAAAAAAGTCCTTTTACATATTTTTATGTAAAGAAAAGAGAAGAGAATTCTTAAGAAAATTTTGTGACAAGTAGTCTTGCTGAGTGGGATGGTATTTCAAAAGCAGCTTATGATATGGTATAGAGCTCTCCCAAAATTTAAAATAATAGAAGCAAAGAAGAACCTCAGAGACTTGTGCAACCTCTCAACCACACTTGAACTAGTTCTTTGGATTGCAGGCAGCCACAGGAAAATTAAACAAGCCTTTGGCACAGCCAAATCTCATGCATATGTTTTTTCTTTCCCTTTCCAGTCCCGATTTAACCTATGTGATACCCATTTCCAACACCATTCATTCTTATTTCAACTGAAAACAAGAGACATTAAATACAAATCTGAATTAAAAAGACCTTAAGCTCAGGCTTTGCTGGAACATCACCATTCAGTGAAACTTCAAAATCCAGTATTCCATCATCTTTGTGACCAATGTCCTGCAGACCTTGAAGAAATATTTCTCGTAACTCCTGATATGGTGGTTTTTCAGTATAGGACAGAGCCATCACTTTTTCCATATACCTGGCTACTTCATCTAAAGGGAGCAATTAAAAGTCCAAGTTAATTGAATTATATTCTAATGTGCCAATATAGTGATACAGTATCTATAAGATACTACTACACAGTCATAGCTCTTATCCAAATATGATAATAAAAACATTTTCTTCTCTGCTCATAGAAACTACTTTGTGTCTGGAAACAAAATCTATAAAATACATAAAGATCTGCTTGGGATACTCAGTGTAATAGGTTAGATCCAGGTAAATACCACAGAAGAGCCAAGAAGGAGAGCTTTCCTGACAATTCCACATCTTTAGAAAAAAAATTGGAGTGGATGGGTCCATCAAGTAAGGAGGGCATCTTCTCCCATATTTGTCAGGATCCAACCTAGAATACAGACCTGAGCCAGTCACTTAGGCTTTCTAGTCTCGTTTTATTCAGGAATATTTCAATTTCAGAGAAATAATCTTAAATTCCATAGTAGACATAAAATGTGAATTTGGTTTACAGGTGCAATATACACATTAGGAAGACCTAGTATGACTGGAGAATCTGGATAAAGACATCCCACCGTTAACAATTTCTTCCTTAATTTTTTGACAACACCTGAAAATGAAAATAATTACAGTAGCATAAATAACTAAAGTAAACCTTAAAACAGAACTATATTTAATGGTAGTTGATATACTTTTAAAAATAAACAAGGTCAGCAAATAGATTTAAAGAGGAATTTTCAATAAATTTAGTCAGATTTTTTTATTGATCTTTTTTTTCTGAAAAGAAAATTATTTCCTAACAACCAAATGATCTTTACTCAATTTCATGAGATTTAGTTTCATTTATGACTCTTCTCTGTGCAATAAGAAAACCTGCAAACTCATAGATCACCATGGCATCAGAGTGCTGGTGAAACAGACACTGTTGGCAGATTCTGTTGCTTTTCCTTTCTACTTTCTCTAAAACCTCAAATAAAGTATATTGCAAAGGAGGTGAGAAAAAGTATGTTTCCAGGATGTTCTGTATCATCCACAAATATTAGGCATGTTTTTGTTTTTTTAAATTCTTCTTGTCAAATGCAACTTCTTTGGACAATTTATTCAAATACTCCCAAAAAAGACATTGGTCAATTTTGTTTCAGCGGATTCCTCAATTTCTTCTTTCTTTACATTAAGCAAATACATTCATTTGATGAACTAATTTAATCTGACTCTTCCTACCTGGTTTATCTTCTTTAGTGAAACATTTACTCATGAATCCTGAAATGTTATCTGTATTCCTAAGAGAAGAAAGAGGATGCCAAATTATGTTTAACAGATCAATAGTTTTTTGCTAGATTTTGACCCCTTTCATATCTATAATACATATATACACACAACCACACATACATTAATGACAGCAGTAATGAAGCTATCCTAGCTTTTTAAAATTATATTTCACTATTGAATATGCTACAGTCATCCTGCTATGAATATTGTTAGTAACATGGACTGAAAACATTCTGAGAATTAAAATGTTAGAAGTATAGAAATGCTGTTTTATTATGTTTCTGATGGGAATGTTAGGGAAGTCAGTATCTAATATGACATCTTGTTTTGGATAAATAGAACAATGATTAGCAAACTAAGATGACATTGGCATTTGGCTTTATGGAGACTATATGTGGAAGACTGCACAATAGGTTAAGAAAGCTAGGACCATGTTCACTTGTCATGTTTCTAGCTGTCAAAGGAATACTGTTTATTTAAGGCCTACTGGATTCAGCAGTTAGTAAAAATAGCATATACTTAATAAACAATTATACTTCTGTTCATATTAGAATTCTGTTGCAAACTGGTGTAAAATAAGCATTGGAGAGTGAGGACAGCAAAAAGCATATACCACGTAAGAAAATACAATAATTTTCAGCATTAAGACTTTATGGTATTTCTAGTTTTATTGTTTCTGGCTTTATCTCAGACCACAGTATTGTACTGATTTTTGAAACAGTACAAAAATCAGTTGTGTGCGGGTAATATATAATATTATCCCTAAATATTGTGTGCAGGTAATATAATAATAATATCCCTAAATTTCAATAGCAAGTGTAATATCAACTATGGAAAATTCTGTTGTACCAATTCAACGTGTATTCTTTTGTTTGTTTACCTCTTCTTTTTCCTTCACGTTAGGCATTTTTGTCCCTTCTTGTAAGACTCAGCTCTACCCTCAATCATAAAGGCTCACTGGCTGACTTCGGGTCAATTGCTCCTTCTGAGATCAACCTATCCCAGTTATAGGGAGTTGTTGTTATAGGAAAATGAATAGAAGACTATGTACACCATCTTCAGTTCCAGAAGGAAAGGTGGTATATAAATCCAATCAATCAATCAGTATTGGAATTGCAGTACTCTAATATCTAACTGCATAGCTGAAACAAGAATGTCATCCAACTTCTGTCCAATAATTCAATTTCAGTTAAACCTGTCAAGCCTGTCTCACCTTAGCACCTGGATTTGTAAGATGAAAATGTGATACTTAGTCTCACCTAAGCACATATATTTTGAGCAGTTTGAGTACATCCAAGAGTATTGTTGTTGTTGTTAAATATGTTAAATTTACCTGATTTTTGACTCTTTGACATAATCTGGATTTTTCAGATTATCTTCCCAAGGCAGTTTACCACTAAGCCAGCAGATCATACAATAACCCAAAATTTCCAAGTCACCACGCCTTGATGGAGCTAAATAAAAAAAAAAAAGTGCTAAATTCATAATGAAGACAAAAATTGATAGTTATAAAAAGTGTCATTAAAGAACAAAAGGAATAATTAACTTAATACCACTAGGCCTCTTAAAGATGATTAAGAGGGTTTCATTTAGGAAAAGATGTCAAGTATATTGCACTGTATTATTAGTTACAGGCCTATAAAGACAGAACATTCAGTATGGATTATAATTTCAGTTTCACTAAAATGAAGAGTCCCAGATTGCCATAACAGTATCTCTGGCTGTAGATTTAAGACCACAGGGAAAAGTAGTCCAGTATGTAAAAAATGAAATTTGTAATGGAGTGAAAGATGATTGAGGCTTTGACTGAAAGCTATCGAAGTTACGTAAGAGCTTACAGTGTTAATGTCTAGTAGTACATTTTTCTTCTAATGCAGATCCCATGCTGTATCATGAATCAAACACATTCTTAAGAGGCCATCCTATATCATGAATCAGAGGCCATCGTAAAAGGCTATCCTTGGACCCAACAATGTTGACCAACTTTTGTACAGTCTCCAACCTTCCCTTTTTAGACAAGGTTGTTGAGAGGGTGGCTGGCGCTCAGCCACAGAGGGACCTGGATGAAGTGGATTATCTAGGCCTTTTCAATCTGGGTTCAAACCTAGGTACAGTCCTGAGATAGCATTGGCCGCACTTGGGGATGACCTTTGGAGGGCTTTGGACAGATGTGGTACAATCATGGATCTCTTGGCAGTTTTCGATACCATCAACCATCGTATCCTTCTGGACTGGCTCTGGGAATTGGGAGCGGGAGGCACTATTTTGTAGTGATTTTCCACCTTTCTCCATTGCTGGTTCTAGTCAGTGTTGTGGGGGGAGACAGGTTGAGCCCTGGGCCCCTGCAGCATAGGGTGTCTCAGGTCTCTCACCACTCTTCTTTAACATCTACATGAAACTACTGGGTGTGGTCATTCAGTGGGGTGCAAGAAACTGCAACTGTCCATGGGAAACTGCAACCATCATAAATGCAAGCCAGTTACCAAGCACCCAAATCGTAATCACGTAACCACAGAGGTGCTGCGATGGCCAGAACTTTGAGGACCAGTCATAAGTACCACTCATTCAGCACTGTCGCAACTTTGAATGGTCGCTGAACAAGTGGTCAGTAAGCAAGGACTATCTGTACTCTATTATTCACTGTTTTGCCCCTCCATCTATGTATTTTTAGATGTAAGTAGAATTATTTAGGTCAATAATTCAACTTTGTTACCTTATATTTGTCAGAAGAAGGAATACACATAAAAACAAAAAACAAAAACAATCTTACCCACTCCCTTGTGTGCGTCAATACTAGTAAACTCAAGGGTTCCATCATGACACCGTTTGGGGTTTTCTTTGTATTCCTTGTGATTGCCTTCTGGAGAGTATCGAAAAGCAAGACCATAATCTACCAAGTATACCTATGTAAATGTCAAGCACAACAAATTTAACTTAATCCAAGAATTAAAAACAACCGTATCCAAAATTGTCCTTTATTTATATAATACTGACAAGTTCTCATTATATTGTTATTGTCAGGAAATTACATTCAAATGTAAGCGTGCATTCTCTTTTAGTTCAAGGATTCTTCCTAATATTAAAAGCCTAATCATTCATTCCATATACTCCAATAAAAGCAAAACATTATATTATTAAATTTAACAGGACACCCAAACACACTAAAGTAAATCTACCTGCAATCCAATAACATTAATCTAATATTGGTGCTAAAAGAACCACGTAGTAAAATATTACCTGCAACCTGGCTTAAAATTAACCAGTTCCTGATTGAACAGATGTAGAACAAATTGTCTCAGGGGCGTAGATGGTGATTCTAAACATCGTATTACCAGCACAAACCTAATTCAGAATTATTTTTAATAACCAAGGCTCAATATAACAGTGAATGCTTTCAATTCCCACCTGAAGCCTCATGCTGCTTTTACCACCAGTCCCTATTTCATTTACATCTAAGACTCACAAACTGTTACAGAAACTGAAAAGTCAGTACCAGCCTTATCCTCTTTCCTTTCCAATTTAAAGTGCTGGCTATAAAGCCCTTCATGGCATAGGAACAGGTTATCTGAGGGACCACCTATCTCCCATGGTTTCTGCCCATCCAGTAAGATTCGACAGGGTTGGTGCCCCCTCACTCAAACAACTCCATCAATCAGGACCCAGGAAGTGTGCCTTCTCTGCTGCAGTGCCTGCCCTCCGGAGTGATATCCCCTGAGAGATTTGTGTAGCTCCCACCCTGATATTTTGAAAGGCTTAAAAACTTGGCTGTTCTCTGAGGCCTTGGGCTAGGGTGCTCGTGGAGCCTGTTGGTTATGTTTTTATGGGGTGTGGTTGTCTAGACCACAGAATTTTCTCTTTAGTGTTTTCTAGTTTTAAAGTCTAAACCACCTGGAGTCATTCTGGAATCAAATAAGTAAGTAAATTCATTCCCTGGCTCCAAATCTGGATAACTAGAAATTAATATAGGAAGTAAAAAACTAGGGAAGATTCAGTTTGTGCTTACAGAAAAATCTCTTAGACCAGGGGCTGCTAAAATTTCTGGGTTGATGGGCACCCCTGGAATTTACTGAGCATGTTATGGGTACTTACAGAAAAGTTACCATGTAAGAAGGGGTGATGTCTTTTCATCAATCATAAGGTTAGCCAGCCACAAACTACCATTAACCAGGAAGCCATTTCCCCCAGAATTCTGTCTAATGTGCCTATTCTGAGCCTATGGGCAAATTTCTACACAAAACACTAGGTTTTATTCCCACTGGGAATAACTGTCAATGTTTTTGCTTTGCACTATGCCAGCTTCCATTTTACTTTCATTAGAAAAATGTAAAAAATTAAGTCAGATGAACTAAGGGGTTCAGCTAGTGCCAAGACAGATGTCTGTGAAGACACTGATGCCCACATGTAATGATTCAAGTTAATTACACAACACTACTTATACAGCATTATACAATAAAACTGTCCCAGCTTACATACAAATTCAACTTAAGGATAGACTTTGGGAACAGAACTTGTTCTTAGACTGGGGACTACCCGTATAAGAAATAAGTCAATGATCCTGAGAATATTTGCATTTTCAGATATCTTGTAATTAAGATTGGCAAGGTGCCTTTGAAGAGTGAGCTCCTGCTATGAATAATTCCTTGTTTTCAATGCAAATAGTGTCAGTTTAAGCAACTAAAAGTTTGTCTTTAGGGCATGCAATATATGCACTTGTATATGTTGTTTAGTACAGAAATTCTGCTATCCCATTTCAACCCAGTCAATATTTCCCCACTTTGATTTATAAAATTATTTTCATTTTTAGATAATTCTCATCTTCCAAAATAGTGCTCTTTATCTACAATTCATGCAATGTTGATAAAAAACTGTGGACATAAGACAAAAACTTTGACCTCAAGTTTAGAAACAACAAAAAAAAATTTAAAGCGAGGGGGAGATGAATCAGTCTCATAATGCCTAAAATAATGTGGTAAACAAATAGACCATTTTATCCAGATGAATCTAGGGGCTGATCTTCTTTTACTGGCATCCCTGCTTGAGTAAAAGCAGTACAGCCATCCAGTGACTCTTGGACTTCTTGCCAAAGGAAGAGACAAAGTGACTCTCTCAATGGTTCTGTAAATTCATATGGGAGTGTGTAAAGTAAACAAGCAAAAGCACTTGTGGATGAATAAGTTCTATGGATTCATTTTCAAAAACAGATGAACTCCATTAAAAGTACTACAATTCACTTGTTCACCTCAAGAAAAGTACCTGAACCTGGAAATTGTGCATTTGCTAATGATGGCTACTACTACTAAATAATAATAACAACAACAACAATAATAGACAGCTAGAGATATTTCTGTAAACCATTTGATTTGAACTAATATGTTAAGAAATCAGGTTTTCAAGTAACAGAACACTTATGCTTGATGGATTCTTTAAACAAAGGAAATAAAAAATTGACAAAGCAGACAAGCAAACGTAATTCACTGGTGTACTATATAATTTTAAACTTCCACCCCCAAACAGCTATTTGAAATTCATTTTGTATTGCAAGCATTCTCTTGAATATTATTCAGGGCAGAATAGCCAATTTGATCAACTGCCAGCAAAGTGAATAAAAAATGTACAACATTAACTAGATATAAATGTCAAGCAGAAATATTAACACCGTACACATTCATAAAGGCAAGATTTCTGCTGAGGTTCACAGCAGTTCCATTTTCTTTAAAACAATAGGTTAAACACTGAAGGAAGAAAAGACTGAAAGTTACCTGATTTGGAACCTTGTAGCCCAGGAGAAGATTTGAGGCCTTGATGTCTCCATGCACATATTCATGTTCATGAACATATTCCAAAACATCAAGCTAAAAAAGCACAGCACAGAATAATTTCAGAAAAAAACCTTCAACAATATTACATTCATCTAGCAGGGGTCTCTACTTATTATAGATTAGTATTAACATAAAAAAATGTTAACTTACTATTCTCAATCCCAACTGTAACACTGTTTTGTGTGAAAACTGCTTTCCTTGTTCCTCAAATATCTTCTGAAGATCTTTCCCAAGTCTGTCCATCACCATAAATCTATAACTGATTTCAAAAAATAAATTTAAAGTTGAAAGTTGAAATTCAAAACTCTGTAATGTCATATAAAAAATAGTATTCAACTCTTGGGAACTATATAGACATGGAGTTTTCTTAGCAACGACAGCAAACAATGGTTTGTCATTAACTTCTTCCAGGTCTTTTTTGACTTCCCTGTCTAATTTCCATGCCTGGTATTTCTTAATGGTCTCCCATCTACATACTAAGCAGGCTTGACCCTGCTTAGCTTTTAAGATGACAAAGGCTGACTAGGTGCTACCATCTGGCAGTACAATGACATACAAAAGAAACAGAGAAATTTTAAAACTACTGAAAATTACTAAACAACCCCTTCTGTATTTTCTACAAGTTCAGGAAAGTATGCAGGAACAAATGAAATCAGATCAGGAAAGCAATTCAACTAACACTAAACACAAATTTCTGAAGTTTAGCAGAGAAGGGAACAAGTGTGTCTCCTGGTTGAAGGAGATGCAGAATCTGTGCTGCTCTAATTAACTAAACCTCTGTGCCATACTTCTGTGGGACTTAGAGCAGGATCTCATCTAAATAGCCTCCCCTAACTTAGGAAACAATCAAAACACCTGTTTTCACTCACTAAATAACTTGTTATATATATAAAAAAAGTTTTTAATGGAGAGAAAAGAGGTCTTTTCAGTTTCTTTAAACAAATCCTTAATGCCTCACAGCCACCAAACTGCAAGACAAAGAGAAGAGTTACTCTCATTAACATCCCTTTCAATTAGCACATCTCCTGTATGACATTTTCTTAATGGTCTGAATTTGTTTAATGCTGGCCAATTTTTTGTTAGTTTTTTGTTACTCCACTTATCTAGCAAGGTATTTTCGATTATCCCTTTGGCCAAATATTTTTGTAATTTAGTTGGTAGAATCGACTACTACCTATTTACTCTGTTCTGCCTATGGGGTGAAAAGCAAGAGGACAGCAGCTGGTGTTGACTTCCTACTACTTGGTCTGAACACTTTAAACATATCTAGTTTTATTCTGATGGAATAAAGCTAACCTGGAAGATTTCAACATCCTATCTCATATTTCCTGAGAACTACCAAAGACATTCATTAAATTCAAAGAACAGCATAAAATTGCTTAAGATTCACTTAATATTGACCATAGTGCATATTTCCAAGTTCTCCAATAAAATGTATATAAGAATCCCTGTAGATTTAACTTCACACATATGTATTTTTTTCATGTGCCAATTCCTCAATATACTGATCATGATAAAGTTAAATGACAAAGGCCCTCACTTGACATTATTGCTAAGATTCATTTTAAGAAATATTATAGAGTTTGTAAAATAGGAATTAATGGAAGTTAAACTATAAAAAACTTTTATATTCTAAAATAACAAATGGTTTATACCTTTTGCCATTCTTTTGATGCAAGCCAGAACCCCAATACTTTGGTACGCCTAAATATTTCAGTTTGTGAGAAGAAATCCATTTCTTAACTGAAAATAAATAAATTTTCAATATGCAGTTACCATTTTCACTAAGCAACTTGTTACCAAGTAAGATAGAAAACTGTCTATTATTGCTGCCTATTAAATATTAAATAAGACCAAAAGAGGTAGATGTAGATATATTTTTTTAAACAGAGACCCTCTCTCTCACTAAAATTAATGGAATTGAAAAGTTTAGATGGAATGCATTTTCTTTAACGTTTATGCATTTTATCCTTACCATTCCTTCTATATTTTTAGCAATTTAAATACAACAAACTCATTCTGCATGAGCAAAAGGGCAACAAATGTTGTCTTAGCATGTTTAGCATATCATTTAAATACAGTTGCTTATTATTCCCTCCCCATTTTTCAAGCAGCTTCAAACTTCTAGTATTAAAAAAGAACAAGAGTGTTAGATCCAGTTTATAAAAAATGCTTCCAATAAATATCCAATACTGCATCATTATAAAGAAACATAGTTTCTTAAAATAACTATTTGGAATCCTCTATGAATTACAGTAGTAGCTGCTGTAACTCAATAGATAATACGTTACTATATCTTTCTCATATTTTCTTATACTTAAAAATGATTGTTTTATTGAATAAAAGTGAATTATGTTACTTACTTAGTTCTGGTTTAGCAGCTCGCATGTAGAAACTTAACTCAGTAAAGAGTGGTCCATTGTCACTGGGTTCCTTTAAATATCATTTATAAATAAATGCAATGTTTCAAACTTGATTTACTCCTCTCAAGCAAAGATTTTGCTAATACTATAAAACATTCTTCTATTGTCCTATAAAAACTGTTATCTTAATCACTTAATCTTTCTTCCTTGTAATTCAATTTCTTGATGTTTGTTATATAATTGGGAAAAAGATAACTAATTTAAAAATGAAACATTTCTATATATCACAGTAAAAATGTTTATATTAAGATGTATTAATATGGGATCTGAAAACCTAAATAATGTTCAGTTACAGCTGGATAAAGCATTTGAAGGGCCCAAGCAAAGCAACCCATCTAGTACTGAGGCATCAGCCTCCTCCAGAAGGCTTACCACAGTTGTTTTATGAACTTTCCAAGGTTGTACTTCTGCAGGCACTGTGAACAAAGCAAAGCAGCTGTCTATGCACATACATGCAGAGACAACTTGGGAAAGGCTTTGAAGCAGCCACAAAAAACTTTCCAGAGCACTCTCATTTTCAGTATCTGAATAATAATTAATATACTAAATATATTAGCATATAACTTTTCAACAATTTGTGTTGGCTCAGAGAAAATTTATTTGTAAGCCAGTGCCTTTTCTAACATAAATTTGCCTGGTTGTCTCATACCAGGTCAAGCTAGTGGTCTATCTAGCACTGTGCTGTCTATTCTGCCTAGCAACACCTCTCTAGGATCTCAGATAGAGTTCTTCCCAATTAGGGAACGGACTTGGGATCTTGCATAAATTATGGGATATAATAGTTACTTATGACTTCTCCTATACATATAGTAGATGTTTTAATCAGAACAATTCTTAATAGGAAAAAAATAGAGTGTCCTTGGCATGAATGGAAACAAATTTTTGCATAAAGCAACCTGCCATAGAAGTGAATAACATGAAACCTGTTGGTTTACATGGCTTATGCATTTTTTTTCTGATTGTCTCATTTTTTAAATTGGTATCACATTTTAAGTAAACCAAAATAATATAGTGGGTTATATCAAAATCAATAGTTTTACTTGTTTTCACAGAACCATTAAGAGTTTTGGTCATGGACAACCAGTGTGTCCTGGTTATTCAGAGGACCCTGACTTAAGTGACCGTAATCTTGATCCAGGACAGACTTAAATATCTACATATTTAAGCCTATTCTGTATAGCTGGTGTCAAATGTCACCATCTCCAAGAGATACTTTTTTAAGGTGTCTATTCATGTATAAATACAATTTATTACTATATCTAAATTCTAAATTATACCACAAAGTACTAATCTATATATTTATATCAGCAACCTTTTCCACTGCATGTACATCACCAATATGAATCATTATGCATTAATGCTTTTCAATACATTTAACAGTAAAAAAATGTGACATATAGGCTATTTTTACTAACATAATTAGAATTGATTAATAGCAGTTATAACTCCATATTGTATGTAGAAAATAGCCAGAAAAAGGCAAATCCACCTGACACTAACATCAAGCAATAATATTTTCAGCAAACTAGATTGCACTCTATAATTTAGCTTTTTTTAATCAATAGGCTTCCCTCATATCATCAAAGTGTTCAGAATATCAAAATTAGGGGACCGGAAATCGTGATCCTATCTGCTCACTCATCCATACTGGATAATGAGAATATAAAAGGGGGCAATAAAAGGCAGATGAGAGGAAAATGGGCACAGGACGTGGCCCAACTTCTTTGAGGCATCCTGCATGCACTATCACCAGCTATATGGGAAGCGCTGCATGATCTCAATTCCTGCTATTGATCTCAATTCCTGCTATTAATGAATTCATGATCAGAATGATTTTTAATAGTTCAAAGGTTCTGTAGCACACTGCAGCTCCAAATGCCTTAGATGCCCATGCCCACCTTTCTTAGGCCCTGTAATTTTCCAAAGACAAAATTCATGGGGCTACAATGATAACAGGTTCTGCTCCTCTAGCCCAGATGCCTAAAGTAAAATAGCTCATAACTGAAATTAGTTGTAAAATAAAAACCAAAATGTACATTGACTGCCATACAGAAATATACACAAACTATAGGCCTAGATTCCAGATTCAGTCTGTTCCAACTTTACTGAAAATTCATTTCCTATGTAATTTTTGAACACCTCAAAAAAAACAATGTAAAGCACATATGTTATTCCACTATTCAAAACCAAATCCAAGCAATACATAGAAAATTAAACATTATTTCAGCAAGATAACAATGGTATTTGTTATTTTTATTAAAAATGTTGATAGTAGCATAGAAGCTTAAATTAAACTAAAATGTATTTTAATCTTAAACAATTTGTACTATACTGGTTGCCTGAGGATTTTCTCTCTAGAATTTCACAAACCTGTAAGTGGAAAACTCTGCCTTTTCCATTTCATCTTTCAAATGCAGACTATTTCAAAAGAAAGAAATTATTTCCAGAGTTGGTCTGGAGTCAGGCAACACCAACATTGAATGAGTGGATAATTAAATAAACTTACCACTTTTATAACATAGGGTGCATCACTGGTAACTGATTCAGATGAATTAACATCAGCTGTTGAAATATAAGTAGTTTTTATCAATAGGATTGAAAACTGTCTTAATATCTCAGTAGCAATTTTTACATAACCAACAAATATTGAATAACTGGATGAAAGCCAAATACAAGTTCATGAGTATATGTAAGAATATTTTATGGTGGAGCCTTATGTATTCTTTGCACAAGTCCACCTCCATATCACAAATACCCCAACAATAATACAGAGTGATAAATTTTGCATTTAATATTTCAATTTTGCATGTAAATGATCAACATTGCATTCCATTTTTAAAAACTGTAAGAACTAACTTGCCAAACCTGACCACAGTCAATCAAGCACAGTATTCTGCTTCAAGAGCAACCAGCCTGGTACCTCTGAAAAACTTCCAAGGAAAGCCAATTTAAATGTTCCATCAGTGGAACATTCAGTGATATTGGTGGGTGAGCTGAAGCAACAAAGCCCTTCCTAAAGATCAAGAGGATAAGCACCAAGTCCTAATAGGAACATGGCAGCAACATCTATAACAGAGATTTATAATTAGCAGTCAGCCCATAGTCACCTTGCCCCCCGAATCTTATTTGTTTGTTTGTTGCAGCAGACAACAAAGGATGAGGGGGAACTCGTTCTGTTAGAAGAGTCCATCCTACTGACAGCATCACTGGATAAAATACCAACAAAAAGTATTGTGCCACAAACAAAGGCCCAGCATACATAGAACAGCCTCTCTTGTAAGGGGAGCATGAAGGTAATGAAGAAAATCAGGATAAGCAGTAGAATCAGGAACACCCTGAACTGCTTTCTATTCAGTCCACCAGAAGCTGTCACCAACCCTGCACTCCTCTCATCAACCTACCAATCAGCTGAATGGCAAAATCCAAAGAACACTATTAGGCCTGTGGCCATCATTTCCACAGCATGTTAACCATGCAGTCTACCGCAACTGCTTGTCAATTGCTGACTAGAGCTGTAGAACCTTGAGGAGTGCTATACAACAGCATAGCAAGCTTCCTACAAATATAATTGTTGAATGGGAAAAAGATAAAGTCTTATCCCCCTTCCTTCTCAAGGTCACTGCTTCTGTATTGCTACAGGAAGCAAAGAAGCTGCGATCTGTAGACTAAATGCTGAGAAAGAAAGAGATGAGGTTCTTCTCCCAGCAACCCTATTAGCTGAGTATGTTCAAACAACAAAATACTTCTTCTCTAGGAAATTATATCCATTTACTATTCACATGGCTTACGCATATGTGTTAAGAATATACATTCTAAAATAAATATATACTGCTTCCTACATTTTAGCAATCTTGGCAATATTCTTCTTACCAAGATACAGACAGCCAAAACCACCTTTGCCTATAACTGGACCAAGCTTCCATTTTTTCTTTAAAAGGTCAGTAAAAACTTCTCCAGGAGGAAATTCTTCTGCAAGTTTCCGTTTTCTTGGACCTTTTTTTCCTGCTGACTTTTTGATATTAGGCATGTTCACTAAAGAAAATTTAAAAAACAAAGTAATTAGTAATAGGATAAATGACTTATTTTTAGATCTATAAGGTCTCTATTGCCTTTTTCCATTTGTCAACATACCCTGTTCTACAAAACATAAGGACTAAAATTAGCACCAAAAAAGTTCTGATCCTAGAACTCTGATGATTTTCAGTACCGAATTCTTCTTCTGGGACAAAATTGATCAAAATACAAACAGTATTATTTTACTTCCTATATGAAGTGCAATAAAGGCTTTGCAGTTTGAAAATAACATATATTCTTACTAATCTCTCTTACCGTAATCATTCATATTCTGGCAAGTAATTACATTTCTGTAAAAGTTAAAAGAGGGGCATGTCCACAGGACCATTACTAAGACGGAGAACTTGTAGCCTTCAATATTAGCTATTCTGGCTACAGCTACTGAGAATTGTAATTCAGCCATACCTAGAGGACCACAGACCACAGATTACCTACCTTGGTATAAGCTATATCACAAAAGTAGTGTTTACTTTCTCTTTTTTCAATGTCTAAAAAAAAAGAAAATCTCACAAATTATACTCTTCTTTTACAACAACTTTTCTTTATTTTGATGTGCCTTTCAATTGAGGCATTTCTCATACAAAGGAGAAATTAGCAAAAACTGTCTTCCCTCATCATTGCTTCCACTTTGCCATTTTTTAGTTGAATCTTTTAAGCTGAGAGTCAGTGATGAGTTTTACCCCTACTATTGCCATTAACATGCAATACCAACTCTTCCAAAGTATGGCTGACAGTCTCAGTTCAATCATATACAATCAGGCAGGCAGATGAGCTTTGCTTTCCAGAATTCATAATGTTTCATACTAGCATTTCTGATAAGTATGAAAAGCAAATTACTCATCATAAATAGCAAGACTTCCTAATATTTGGCAGAATCATTCATCATTCAAAAAGATCAAGTTTTTTTTCTGTTCTAATATTATTCATTGCAATAGTAACCATTCTTACTACTAAAAGAGGGGCTGTGCAACACAGAGGCCTCTTAATGTTGAATTGGTACTTCCACCATCTCTCACCATTAGTTATATTAAATAGGTTGATGAGAGCAAGAATTCAACAACATCTGAAGGGTGCAAACATACATTGCTCAGACTTCATTTTCTCGGCAGAGCCATTTTTTTTTGTCATATCACATTATGTTAAACATTTGCCATTCCGTGCTTCTTTGTGTAACTTTCAACTTCTGTACTGCTTTTGCATTTAATGCCCAAGTTTCACAACTGTATGTCAGCACAGACAGTATACACCAATTAAACAATTTCCTCAGAAATGCAATGGGCTAACCATATTGCACAATGAACAGATCAAAGCAGGACACAACAATCCTTGATTGGATATCAATTGGCATTAAAAAGAAAACCATAAAACACCCAAAGAAATGCTGGAGAAATGATGCAATGCAATTTGAAGGTGTTAACTGTTAAAACCTGTGGTGCACAGGTGAAATTGGAAAGTAGATGAAGAGTCCTTCCTGCAGTGAATTGATTTGGGCTGATGAAGATGATACATTGCCCCAAAAATGTAAGAATTTGTAATAATAATTATAGTCTTAATACAATTTGTTGAATTTATAAGCTGCCTGACTCAGCAACTATGGATGGTTTACAAATTGTTAAAAACATTTAAAACAAGGAACAATACAAAAACACAAAACAACACAAAGCAAAAGAGCAGAGATAGCAGAGGAAACAGACCTTGATGGTAATAAGGAAAAGAAAGGGGCATCAATTGTCCTTATCAAAGGCCTGGGCAAAAAGCCAGATCTTAAGAGCCTTTCGAAATACCAATAAGGTGGGAGCTGTTCAAATCTTGGGAGGAACCTCATTCCAGAGGGCAGGTGCTACTACAGAGAAGGCGCGCTTCTGGGGTCCCAATAGGTGGTATTGATTAATCGATGAAACCCAGAGTGCACCAAGCCTGCCAAATCAAACTGACCTTATCCTTTAGCTAGATAAAGATCTCAACACTGCTTTGAAACTGTTCAACAAAAAGGGAGTATATAACGAACTACATACTCTATTCACTTATTGGTATCTTAAAACAGAAATACCCTACTGTCATAGGATAGTATCACTTAGATGAGATGACATTAACTTGATTCATAAACACTGTAAACCTATTAATGCTTGCTTAGGAGAGTTAACAAAGAAAAAGCAGAAAAGATAGGTGGAACTCCATCTTTCTCCATTAGGTACATAGTCCCTCTTTCCTATGCACATGTCTACATATTTAGGGTGTTATTTTGCTTACCTGAAAATTAACATAATAATGACACTAGGTTACTCATTCTCTTGTGTCTAGAAAAGGTATGCTTCACAGAATTTAAAAAATATATAGGCATCAATAAGTAAAGGTTTTGTATAGCTGGCTAATTGAGTCCTCTTTAGCATCTTTCATGGGTAGAATCCATATAGAAAAAGATAATTGTAGCCCAGACAAATGGCTGTCCAATCTTCTTCACTGATGGAGCACCTACAATTTCAGGTGGCAGGTTGTTCCACTGCTTAACAGCTCTCACAGTCAGGAAATTCCTCCTTATTTCAAATTTGGATGTCTCTCTGTTAGCTTCCACCTTGGCTTAGCATCAGGCGCTATGGAAATAACCCACACCTTCTTCCCTGTGACATCCCTTCAAGTACTGGAAGACCAGCAGATAGCAGTCCACCATGTCTTCTCTTAGCTTTCTCTTCTTTTGCTTGTCTTTTTAAAACAATTCCTATGTTGTTTTAACCACAATATTTAAGCCACCTACAGTTATCTTGAGGTGGCATAAAATAAACCACACTACTGATCCTGTCCCCAACTTCTTGCAGTACCCAAACTACAAGGTTCAACATGATTTTAGTAAAATGATAATAAAAATGGTGTTTCTATAAAACATTCAAGACAGCTTTCATAATTAACTGATATATTTTAATGCTGTATGGGATAATTAATATAATACAAATAGGAAAGAAAAGTCACAGCAGCTTCAAATAAATTCTATGGGCCACTTTATATCACTTGAAAATATCTCTAAAAAGCACATTTTATGTAAACAGGGAAAAATCAGCAATGCAGTAGACATACAGACTTTTTTTGGTGGGGGGATGTTTCAGGACCTAGTTCAGCTTTCACCAATCCTGTATCTTCCAGACACTACCTACAATTCCCTGCATATGTGATAGGAGATATCAGTAGAGCCCTGGTTGTTAGACAGATGGTTCTTAAGATAAATGTTAAGACCCTGAACAGCATGAGGCAGGCTTAAGAGTAAACAAACTTTAGCACCTTTAATAGTTGAATATCACTAGAGAGAGATATTTGGCATTTCTCATACCAAGAAACACTTCTGATCATCATCATTGGTAATAACTAAACTAACAATTATTTAGCTGGTCCATAATAGGGTTATGAGCTTCATTGCTGTTGCCATTATTATTTTTTCTTCTCTCCCACTTTCTTTACAGCTTTTTCCTATTAAATGTTTCCAACCACACTGTTTCTACAGAATGCCCCAATTATTTATGTCCTTCTTCATTTGATGGTTCTCTAATACATCACAAACTGTTACTTATTTCAGCTCCCTTCTGGCAAACAGGCTTGAAAAGAAAAGGACTGCATACCTGAAAATATCAAGATACCTCACTGAACAGAGGACATACCACCTCCCCACCTAAAAAAGGAGGAAAAGTTGGCTTCACTTTTACTTCAGCCAACCTACAGTCAGTCTCTCTGCACCGACCTAAGAATTCTAGCCATCACTGTTGGAAACTAATGGCAGAGTTTGTCACTAACTTCAGGTGGGATTCCCCCCACAACCAGCCCATGCACCCTTGTACTGTAACCCTACTCACATTGATGCCTTTAGCTTCCCCCAAAATGTTTCATGTTGCCCTTTGCATCAAAAGGCTGCCCACCTTGCTTTATTTTAATAAGGGATCACCATTTACAAAACTGGAGAAAACAAAAATGTTTGTGGCAGTTTTTCCCAATCTGGGATCTTCCAACTGTTATACTACCACCTAGCAAAGCTGAGCTAGGGGTCGTGCGAGCTGCACCCAGTTAGGACTAGATCGACTATCAGCCCGCCCAACGAAGTACAGCCAGTAGAAGGATGCGACGAAAGACGCACCAGATCGCGAAAAAACTAACCTATAGCTATTTCAATTATATTGCTAACTCACTATTTTCACACCGACATCCACAGCTAAGGAGGGAAGAAAGGAAACACGCAAGATTCTTCTGTGGCCAACGCCTCCTAAAAAGGGCTCCCAAGCAGCAAGAGGGGCTGTAGGAGGAAAGGGAAAGTAGTAAGATCCGCCTAGGGGGCAAAGAAAATGGGGCACGGCGGGAGCGCATTGCTTGGCCTCCCTAGCTCTCATCCTAGGGGGGAAAGCGATGCAATTCTCGCCCCTCAGAGCCGCAGCGAGAGAGCGCGCTTCAGGGCCATACCTCGTCAGCCAAGCGGACTCTGGTAAAAGAGGTCACACCAGGTCAGAGCTTGAACGCGGCCACCACCAAAACTGAGGTCTTCGCTTCTCACCGGAAATAGGAGAGCGGAAGTTCGGAGTTGCCGCGCAGAGAAAGCTTCCGCTTTCCTATCGGAGCCCGGCGCTGTAATTTTCAAGGCGGAGGGCGGGCTCCGCCGGAGCGCGCCAAAAAGTGGGCGTGGCTTCAGCTTGGCAGCGGGAGCCGTAAGTTCGGCTCCGCTGAGCGCGGGAGCGGCGTCCCGCGTGGCTGGCGAGGAAGAGGTTTTAGGCGCGTCTCTGGAGTTGCCGCCGGCGCGCTCGACCCGAAAGGCTCGGCTTTTAGATAAAACAAGCCGGCTCCTGGGTTTGTTCCAGTGCAAGCTCGAGTGATAACTTCACACTGATTTCATACGTTTATTTCCGTTGTATAGCTTCATCTTACTTTCAGCCCGCGAATTAACTGATTCTTGTTCCTTGGCGTAGTCAGATGTAAATCCCATTATTTTCAGAAGAGTTTGTTCCTGGCAATTTAAACTCTGTTCCTCCATTTTCGCTCTGTATTGCCGCGACCTTAGTTCCCCTTCTTTTTAAATCTGGTGTGTGAACAACGTAACAATAAGCGAAATAAAATGATACTTTACACTAATTAATGAATTCGTTATACCTGGAAGCGTCGTGTACCAATCATTTTCTATTAACGCCAGATTTTTATTAACTGTTCAGAAAAATTGACAGGTGAATTACCCCTGTATTTTTCTTGGTGTTTTAAAGTGGGTTTATTTACTTGTATTCTTAGATTGCATTGTATTTACCTTATTGTTCTGCCCCAGGAATACAGTTTTTTGGTGGGAAGACAGGATGTAGGTTTAACAGTTAAATTATTTTTTTTGAAAATTGCATAGGGTGTTTTTTTTTCAGGATGTAGAACTGAAATATGTTGTCTTTTAACAACCATGATTATGATTGTACTAGGTGAGTCTTGTTAGCGTGTAATATTAGATGTTTCTTTTTTACAAAATATTTTGGGTTAATACTAAATAAGTAATAGGAAGCAATCAATTATCAAGTAACTAAGTTCAGCTCTATCATCTTAAAAAATAAATTCCCTCTTAATTTAATGGGGCTTATTCATAGATGCACAATAGAGTTGCAATCTTATTTTTGAAGTCAACATAGTTTGCAACAAATTTAGCTTTCCTAAATACAGACTCCTATTAAGGAAAAAGTTCCAATGGGCATAGTGGGCCTTTTTTGTAAGTAAATATGCTTAGAAGACATGCTTTTTGCTATCAGCTGGCTAAATATACGCTTCAGGATACTGCATCTTCAAAATATCTAGTGCTAAGATGAGAGTTGTTATGAACTTTCAGTTACATTTCACAGTAAAGTGATATGTCAATGCACAAGATACTGCTTTAGTGTCATCCAGCAAAGCTGGTCCTGAATTAGTTTACTGAAAAACAATTTTAAAAATCCTGCTGTTGCAATACCCCATTTCTGCAATTTATATCAAAAGGTGCCTACATGTAATTTCTATAAGACCCTAACAAATGTTTATATTTAAACTTGAAGATATCCTCTAAATAGCCTTGGTGCAAAAACTATGAAAAAATCTCCAGAGCTAAGGAGCTTCTGTGTGTGGAGGCAAGATTAAGTAGGAAAATTATTTTATGTGCATCTCTCTCCAATATGAAACCAGCAAGGTACAGTAGACAGAGGTTTAAAATACTGTATTATGGATATTAGCTTGGACATTTGTACTGTTAATTTTATAATTTTGTCTTTGTACTTTCATGCTGTCCAGAGTCCTTTGGGATCAGGGCTGGTTATAAATACTGTTAACAAATAAGTGAAATAAATGTGGCTTAGCATAATATAGGAAACCAGATGCCGTGGCTGCATTTGCACAACACTCTTGATCTGGCTAAAATGGAATTGAGTAGTTTCTAGTTCAATATGTTGTAGGAAACCTAATCTTAGTCTTACTATATTGTATAAACCATGCCATCACATTGAGCTGTAATATGATTTGCTTATAGAGTATAGCGTATTATGTAAACACAGCACTTCTAATTTTATGGATAGACACCATCTTTTAATCACCTGAGGCTGAAGACACACAGAAACAAAACAGCTAAGTTGTTTACAGAAGGGGCCATGAGTAACTCTGGGTGAAGAGCGTTCCACAATGTGGAGACTACCATGGAGAAAGCTTGCTGCCTTAGTCCAGTCCCCATATACTCTCTCAGGGATGAGAATGGTCCTTGGTTTACTGAGTAGCCAAGGAAATGAAGCACTTAGAGCAGTGTTGTCCAAACTTGGCCACTTTAAGATGAGTGGACTTCAACTCCCAG